GGATGGGGGAGGCGCCTGCTCTGCCATTTCTAGGGAGAACAGACCGAGTAGTTAGGATCAGTGTTGAGATTAAACCGTCTCGTCAAGTTTTAAAGAAACTTTGTATGAATAAGTTTGTTGAAAGCCAGTCGACTGGGGCATTTAAAACCAGCGGTTTGTGGAGGAAGGCTGGTGTGCGGTGACTGTCTGGCCTCGTGGGCTGGGAGACTAGTGGATCCTGCGATTAGGGACCAGCGAGAACCAGCCTTTTACCCGAAAAATGGGGGTCCGTAAGTCAGCCCCATTTATTATCGGCGCTGATAAGCTCCCCGCAGCAGACGGGTCGGACCGGAGCTCCGAGGCTGCGGGTGTCACTCACTCCGCGGGGCTTGCTGGTGAAGGGTCACTCGGTCCCCGGGTGCGCAAAGATCAACCCGCGCAGCCCTCTTTTTAAATATATTCATCCTGCGCCTTATTTAATCCAGATGCACAAAAAGCCATTTGCTGCTTCATTGTTGGTTTACATTTTTTGCAAAGGCGACTGGTGTAACCTGTGGAATTTGAAATGCAAATAAAAGCCTGTGGGAGTTGAGGCAGAACAAATCAGCATTTATAAAGTGAAAAAGATTTAATGTCTTTGAAATCATTGCTGAGGAAGAAACTGGAGGGGGAGTGTGATTTTTCAGGGAGTGAACTGTGACGTCAGTTCTTTTCGGAAAAGATGTTATTTTTAAAGTCTGAAACCCGGGTAGGTAAAGTGCTTACAGGAAAAACAGATTACAAGATTAACATCTGTTAACATGATCGTTTATCTCCAGCCAGAAATAGGTCAGTTGTTTCTTAAGGAAACACGATTGCTGGCGCATGCTTAAATAATAAAATTAAAATGATGGGTTAATACATTAGGGACGAGTGTTTGTGATAACCTGACCTTTGCAAAATATTTTTTAATTTCGAGATCAGTGAAAGGTCACAGCCCCTCTCGGGCGTGGAGAACAACTCTCCACGCTGCGTCCACCCTCCCAGAGACCCTCCTCCCGCCCGGAGCTCCCTTTCCGCCCGCGCCCCGAGCGGTCATTTACCTTTTCATCCCGGTGGAAGTAAAAATGTATCTAAATGGTGTCGTCTGACGCCTCCCTCGTTAAGGAAGGCAAACTCTCTCCGCGCAGATGGCTAACTTTCAGAGCTCTGCTGTTGTTTTACCATTAAATGCAACGGTGGAGAGGAGGGAAAAAAAAGGAAAAAAAAAAAAAGAAGGAAACAGCTTTACAAAGTCTCCCTGCCCCCTGGGCGTGAGTGACGGCTCCGCTGGCCAATCCGCAACGGCTTTCTCCATCCCGGAGGTAATTTGGGTTGGAGTGAGCGTGAGCGCGCGCGCGCCCGCGCCCATGTGTCTGCACGGTGAAGTCTGGCCGGCCTCGCGCACCCGCAGGCTTCTGCATGTGCACAGATGTGCGATGTGGACGCGGACACGCTTTTATTCGAATGGGTCCTGCTAGGTGGGCACCCGGCCGCCCCGGGGGGGCCCTGCCCCTCCGCATGTCCTGCGAAGAACGAGCATTGGGGCGCTTTCGGATTCAGGTCGAAACCTGCAGGAGGGGAAGGCAGGAGGAGCGGTGTGATCACGCTTCTCAGCAACTGGGATGGAAATGTGCGGTTCCACCCACCGCGGTCCTGCGGGCCGCGCGCCCTGGCGCCTTTCGGGTCCGGGTGAAGGCGCCCACTCGCGGGGGGAGGCTGCAGAGACCGCGGTGGTTGGAACTGATGGAACTGTAGAAAAGTCAAGGGCAGTGTGTGTCTTCCAAGTTAGATTTCATTTCTCCCCCGGAGGTGACGTTTGGTCCACGGCAGATGGGGGTGCGAAGTGCTCGCGGTCGTGGAGTGAAGTTCGCTGCCCACCTGCTCTGGACGCTGCGCCCGGCCGCGGCCCCGCACAATAGGCGTGTTCGCGGGCGGAGTGCGTCGCCCGCCACCGCACGCTTCCTGCTGCCCGCATGTGGCGCCGACCCTCCCGGGATCTCGGTAGTGGTGTGCGTGCTCAGCAGTACGCACCAGGGGCCGTGCGGGGTCAGCCCTGCGCCCGCAGCATCCTCGCGAAGCGCCGGGGCGCTGTGCTTCTGGGGAGCCCGGCGGCTGCGGGACTGCCGTGCACTCCGGGACCGTGACGATGCCGTGGGCGGGTTAAAGACCCACGTGCCCACTCCCCCGCCCCCGGAGACCCCTGCAGGGAGACCCCTGGAGGGACCTTGTCCACGCAGGGGGTGCCTGGCTGCCAGGCCGCACCGAGGTCACTCCGAGGGTCCGCGGGCGGCCCCAGGCACCTTGGTCCTTCCCTTCCTGCAAGAACCTAACTCGGCGACACGGCAGTGTCCGACCGCACGCGTCCCCTCCCACTCCGGCCATTTCCGCCCCCAAAGCCGAGTTCTGCTAGACCCCCCAGCTCGGCGAGCTCGTGGCGGCAGCAGGGGCCGCATCGGGAGGTGTCGTTGCATTAAATCATTCCTATTTCTGTTCCTCGGCTGCGGCGACGCTGGCGCTGGGCGCTGCTGGGGGGCGCGGGGAG